GGGATTTGTTTGATTCCCTTTCCCACAGAGTTAATAAGAATGATTTTATGTAAGAAGAGCTGAAGGTATTTGTGAGTCTTTTGCACGTAGGACAGACATTGCCACATTTCAGCTGCCAAGAAATGCTGCTACATTTTCTCCTACCATGGTATTAATCATTAATGGCTTTGTTCTCAATGAACAGCCTGAGTATCTTCAATGATGCTCTTGTGAGTGCTAATGCTTTGTGGTTGCAGTGAGAGCATCACATGAGAAATGTGTTTGTTCAGAGAGGAGGAGAGGCACCACAAACACAGCATTCTGACCCAGACCAAATTTCAAATATTCCTAAGGACAGGTATGCACAGATAAAGATTTTTAATTTGGCCTCATCTCTAGGTTAAGCACTGGACCCATGTTAGGAAGGATTGCACTGGGGGCAGTCAATTTTCCAGCAGCAGCAACTCCATTCAGATGTCAGGGTATTTTGCTACAACAAAGGCTGATGTTGACATTTTTTCTTGGATAGAGACAGATGCAAGAGCTTCTGCCTCAAGGTTATCCATTATACTGTATATTAACTAGATGTTTTAACACTGGGCTTCCTGCAGAGACAGCAGTGAATGATGATTAATACTTATCAATTAAAATCTAATCTTTTTCCCATGTGTATTTATATGCTGAACTTCAACCTACAAGGCAATTCTGTGACAGGAATTAGATATTCTTTTGTTGGAGAGCACTGGAATTATGGTCAGGGATGTATTATTCACTCGTTTATTATGACTATTGCGTTTGTGCCTGGTTTTTGCCTAGGCATTGTATATAAACATAGTGTCTGTGAAAAGGAGTTTATAAACAATTACCATTAAAGGGACAATTATTTTCTCTTTCTTCATGTAGCAGCTCTGAGTAGGAGGTGAGAGATGGAGGGGAGAGGAAGCAAAGGTTGTACATGTTTTATGACCATAATTATAATTAACTATTTGAGAGATTAAAGTTATATTAAATTTTAATTATAATTTACTATTTCAGAGATTAAAACTGATTAAAAAAGACTCAAGGTTATGAGGCACCTCACAGATCAATGAATTATCTAGCTCAGTCTAAACATACAGATATAAATCTTTCTTTTTTGTTTTTCTTTTTCCTTGTTAGCCCAGCCCAGCTGAACAGGCAGTGCCCACGAGTGCGGTGGGTGCCTCGCAGCCCGGAGACGCCGGCGCAGCATCGCAGCCGCAGAGCTGGGCCACGGCCCTGGGAACAAAGAGCTCCAATCCCGCAGCCGCGGAGCGGGAGCGTGCGCTGGGAGAGGGAGAGGGAGCACACGGCAAGGATGGGCTCCAAACGCGCCGCGTGAGAGCAAGGAGAGGCAGAAGGGATTTTCATTCCGAGCTCTCCTTGGCACGGTTGTTAAACACCACTCCATTCAGATGCACCGCGCGATAACCCCGGCTCAGAGCGAGAGGCAGGGCGGAACAATAACTGAAGGAGGCCACTCACAACCCTGGTGGAGAGCCTTAAAGTGGGCAGGTGATCTGGCTGGTTAGTTCTGATTTATTGCAAAGGCATCTTTATGCTTTTTGAATTCCCTTCCATCACTCATGTTAAACAAAACTGCATTCTTATAAGGCACTTCATCCCCTCCATGCATGCACACGCTCATCGCTCATGTCACACTACCACCAAAGGCACATGAAGGAAGTGCAGTTATGTGATGTCTATTACAAAAATATTTTTGTTTATTATATTGGAAACAAGCACTTCAGTAAAGCTGCTAGGAACTGGTTCAGGTTTACGGTACTGTATCAACATTTTCAGAGACTGATGGTGACTGTTAAAGGTGAGAGACTTTTTCTGGTTTGCAGCAAAATTGCTTTTCATGACTTGTCCCAGAAGGTCTTTGTTTTTAAAAAATATTTTGCAAATGAATTCTGTAGCAGGGAGAGGTGTGGAATTATGGGAATGAAAGTGCTTGTGGAAACATCATCTTCCCGTTTTGTAGTTTTTGATGTGACATTCCTTATCACAAGCGAAAGAGGCACTTCTGCAGCTTCCCTACCCCTGAGCCTCCTACCAGCTCAGAGAGGCATCACAAAGCCACTCACTACTCAATCCCCATTTCATTTCTTGCTGTTTATTAACACAACCATACTGTTGTGAGAGCTCGGCCCATCCCTTAGTAAAAGCCTTCAAAGTGGCTGGAACAACTGGTGAAAAAATGATAAACATTTTCAGCTGAAATTGGTCAGATTATGGATGAGTTGTTTACAAACATCTCGTCTAGACCTGTCAAGAGGTGGAGCTGACATCATTGGAAGATGATGAATTCTGACAGTGCTCTGAGATTTCACTGCCACCGAATGTAGGTTAATATGGGATTCAATAGGAAATCTGGCTTGTGTATTGCTGCATATTACAGGAAACGAAGGAACTTGTCATTTGTCTGCAGATTGCTAATTGCAGTTTATTGCACATGCAAAAGGTTAATTTGAGTATGTTATCACAGTAATCACATGAACTGCCTCAGATTAAACCATACCCCTACACTAACTGATGAGCTGGCCTGTGGGATTTGGGACATTATTTTGTAATATTATGGCAAATAAGAATTTTGAGTAAATGCTGTAAGAGTGGGCAGTAGTGTCTTTAAGTGCAAAAAAACAGAGTTACAAGTCTCTAGTATGAAATACTTTCCCTTAACCCTTAATTTAATTATTCCCTGAGATGCATGTAATTTATTCTTTGTGATAATTGAAAACAGAAGACTCATCTATTCTAAATGAAAATTATATCCTATTCTTATTATTGTTAATGCTTTGTATTTAGAGGAGCATTTAAAGGGCTGAGATGAATTCATGACCTCTTCATGCTAGGTGCTGTATATATACACGCAGTAAGCTCACTGCCCCAAAGACCTTACACTTTAATTAAATAAAGGTTGGAGGAAGGAAGTTTTATTACTTCTGTCACAAATGGGAAATGATAACAGAGAGAAACTAAAAGGACTGAGAATTACACTCCTCCTGCACCGAGTCCTGTATTTGCCTGTAATATATCCTCCCTTCCTGCTTTTGTTAAGTTGCTGTAAATTGCTAGGTAGATGGTTGGTCTCTCCCCCAGAGATGGAGTTTAATTCTGTGCATGTTTCAAGGTTTTATGGAACCAAAGGCGTTCTGTAGATAGATAACACTTTAATTTAGACCTGATTAAGTTATTCTGAAGCAATACTTTTGTGGAGGGAGTAGATTTGTATGAATCTGGTGCGCGTTGCTTGTTGCCATATGAACACGCTGCTGCAGAGCTGCTGTGCTCCCCGGGGCTGCGCTCTTGGTGCATGGGGGTTTTAAGGTACACCACTATAACTTTTTAATTGTTATTGTTCCCTCTAGTTTGCTCTTCAATGTCTTCCAAAATAGTAAAAAAGTAATAGTGCTTGAGATGTTGGAGCATTCCACAGGATTCATGGGGCTCTTGGAACACCAATGCAGGCTCAGTCTCCCAGAAATGCATCTTCTTCTCCCCCTGCTCCCTGGAAGTGCTGTGCTCATTCTGAAGTGCATTTTAAGCATTTTTAATTGGAGCTTCTAGCACAGCATTAAAAATAAAGCCAGCTCTGCCTGGAATCTTGCTTTGTGAAATTTTTCTATAGAGGAACATAAACCTGAAGATAACTTGTTTCCCTTTTTCTCCTTGTTCAATACAGTACAGTGATCTGCTTAAGCAGATGGGGTAGGAAGGGAAAGGGAGAAAAAAATGGACAAGTCAGGTGAAGAAACAAAACAAAAAAGAAGTAAAATCCAAGCACAACCCAACCACTCATATCTTTGCATTTCATGACTTATGACTTTCCCTCATCTCATCTCTGTCCTGTCTTGCCCCCGTCTGGTAAATGGGTACAGTGATGTTCTGTCTCACAGATTTTAGACTCCTTGAATTAAAAAGATTGTGAGGAATCGGGCTTTAAAAAACTATTATTTAATAACAAAGAGTATTATTTTGTTGTTACAAGTTTTATGGGTGCCTGAGCACTTACAAGTGACCTCTTGTTTACCCTATGGAAACCAGCACTGTTGCCTATGCAAGTAAATCTGTAGAACAAGTAATCTTTTAAATATGAAACTTCAGTTTCCTTAGTTGATGGGACAAGCTCAGCACTTAGGAAAACACATCACCAGTGTGTTCCCTTGCTGGAAAACAATCCACTGGAGCTTTGTTATACAACATTCAAACATCCTGGCAAAGTGACAGTAATTTGCAATAAACACTGTATGTAAACAATTACCTGTGACTTGTTACACTTGTTTGTACAGGCAGCTGGCTAAACAGACCTGGGTGCACTTGTAAACGTCTGTCCCTGTCACACCTGACACTGGAAAACAATTGCTTGTTATATGATTACTCTGAAAAAATCAGGGGTTTGTACCTGACAGCTGGCAAGGACTGAGTATGGATGCTTACAGACGGAAAAGAGACAGAGAAATCAAATGTGATGGTTTTTATGACAACGGTGAGGGAGCGTTCATGTCTAATCCTCCCCTCAAGGGAGGTCTTTGTGACAGAGTACTTGACGAAAAAATCACTTTTGCTGGTTGAAGGTTCCTGTGGTGGTAGAGGTGAAGGAAAGTCATTTGGTCATACAAGGTCCAAGAAGGGGCAGAGGTGCTTTATTTTCCGGCGGTTTAGCAAGGCGGTGTGAGGTGCTGGTGATGCCAGGCTGGAGCAGCTGTGCGGGAGGCGCTCCCACCCTTGGGGCTCTTTATGGGCGGGGAGCGGGGACCGAGCTGTCAGGGCGCTCGGGGGGCCGCAGCCGGCACCGGGACACGGCTGCGCTCGGCTCCCGGCTGTCACCCCGAGCCGGGCGGGGCGGGGCCGCGGCTCCCGCGGGCTCTGACCCCGGCAGCACGGGCCCGGGGCCGGAGCGGGCTGAGGGCTCGGGCGGAGCGGGAGGAGCGGGCGGAGCGGGCTGAGGGCTCGGGCGGATCGGGAGGAGCGGGCTGAGGGCTCGGGCGCGCGGCCCCCGCTCCCCGCCCCGCGCCCGCCCGCCTCTCCAGAGCCGTCTGGCTGCAGCAGAGCCTCAGACAGAGGAGGGGAGAGGAGGAAAAAAAAAACGCTGAGTGAGTGGAGTGGAGCCTGGGAGGGGCTCCTTAAAGAAACGCTGCCGCCGCTTGGCATTGTGGCCGGCGAGGAACTCGAGGGGGGGAAGCCATCGGAGCTCCTCTCGCTTATCCTCTTCCCACCCCCCCCACCCCACCCCCAGCCGACAAAAAAAAAAAGGAAAAAAAAAAAACAACAAGCCAACCGAAAAAAACCTCGGGGGGGGAGTCGTGGGGGGGATCCTGAGAACATCTTATAAACCGGATTGCACTGAGAGGAGGAAAAAAAAAAGCAAAAAAGATACAAAATATACAAGCAAAAGGCAACAATTCCCCGGTCTCCAGCAGTCGCCCACCCTCCCTTTCCTTCTCTCCTGCTGGCCATCTGCCTTGGGTTCTCCTTTGTGTCTGATCTCTTACTACTGAGCCGAGCGCAGGCGGAGGGTGCACCACACACAGGGACTATGCCCAGCTCGCTTTTTGCAGACATGGAGAGGAACGGGAGCGGCGGCGGCGGCGGTGGTGGTGGTGGTGGCGGGGGAGAGACCCTGGATGACCAAAGAGCCCTTCAGATCGCCCTGGATCAGCTCTCCCTGCTGGGGCTGGACAACGACGAGACGGGCTCCATTTACGACAACGAGCCTCGGAAAAAGAGCGTGAACATGACTGAGTGCGTCCCGGTGCCCAGCTCGGAACATGTCGCTGAGATAGTGGGGAGACAAGGTGGGTGCCTGCATGCCAGGGGGTGTGGGGGCGCGGGTGTCCCCTCCGCGCTGCCGGGCGGGCGGCTCAGATGCGACACTGGCCATTCCCAGGAACGCTGCAGCCGTGCCGTGGTGGCCAGCGCCGGCTTCCCCCAGACAAAGAAAGTGCAGCGGCAGACGTGATGTTTCCGAGGAGTGTTATGCATCAGTTTCGAGATGCACTCTCAGCTGCCGGGTTGGGGGAAAAAATCAGGAAAATGATAAAAATCTGTCCTTTCCTCCGGCTGCAAAAGTTAAGATTTTGCAAGAGGAAACGGGAAGGAAAATGGGAGCCTCGGTGCTTTCCCCCCTCCACCACCCCAAAGTTAGAAATCGTGGATTATTTTTAAGGAAGAGAAATGGAGTGGAGAAGTGGAACAATGGGGTTGGAATAAAGCATCCGCAGTGGGGAATATGGCTCATTCGGTACAGCCTCTGCTCCTCACCTTAAGAACTGATTTTATTTTTCCAAAAGGAAAGTGCTGAGCAGGAATGTGGACTGGCGGGTGTGTTGATTTGTGAGGGCTGCTTGCATTTGATTTTATTTTTTTTTTTCCTGGGGGTTCAGTTTTCCCGCCCCCTTTTTTTTTTTTAAATTTTTTTTTTGTCGCTTCGTTTTTTATTTTTTCCCCCCCCTGTGTTACCGACCCTGTGAACTGCACGTTGGTAGTTTTGGGGCAGTTTGCATGGCAGATGTGTCGGTGGCCACTTGCGATGCCTTTGGGCGTGTGCCAGGGCTGTGGGCTGACATTACTTTACACCGTGACCGAGGCTCCCGGACGAGATGCCAGCGATCACCTGGGGTTGGGGGCAATGTGTTTCGGGTGGGTGTGTATTTTTTTTTTCCCCTCCCTAGCTGCACCCAAACAATGGGTTGTAACCGGTTCTCCCCCACCACCTCCCCTTCCTCCCCCTCCCCTTCGCCCTCCATCTCCGCATCTCGTTCCCAGGTTGTAAAATCAAAGCTCTGCGGGCAAAGACCAACACCTACATCAAGACCCCGGTTCGCGGGGAGGAGCCGCTCTTTGTTGTGACGGGCAGAAAGGAAGATGTGGCCATGGCCCGCAGGGAGATCATCTCTGCGGCCGAGCACTTCTCCATGATCCGAGCCTCGCGGAACAAGAACACAGCCCTGAACGGCACCGTTCCCGGCCCCCCGAACCTGCCCGGCCAAACCACCATCCAGGTGCGGGTGCCTTATCGCGTGGTGGGCTTGGTCGTGGGGCCCAAGGGGGCGACCATCAAGCGCATCCAGCAGCAGACGCACACGTACATCGTGACCCCGAGCCGGGACAAGGAGCCGGTCTTTGAGGTGACAGGCATGCCAGAGAACGTGGACCGGGCCCGGGAGGAGATCGAGGCGCACATCGCCATGCGCACCGGCGGCATCATCGAGCTGACGGACGAGAACGACTTCCACGCCAACGGCACGGACGTGGGCTTCGAGCTGAACGGCACGGGCAGCCTCTGGAGCAAGCCCACGCCTCCCAGCATCACACCCACCCCGGGCCGCAAGCCCTTCTGCAACTACCGCAACGACAGCTCCAGCTCGCTGGGCAGCGCCTCCACCGACTCCTACTTCGGGGGCGGCACCGGGGGGGGCGGCAGCGCCCGCCTGGCCGACTACAGCCCCCCGAGCCCGGCGCTGAGCTTCTCGCACAACGGCAACAACAACAACAACAGCGCCAACGGCTACGTGTACGGCGGGGGCGGCGGCGACGTCCTCTCCTCCCCGGACTGCTGCTCCGAGCTGCCCTTCGACTCGCCGCCCGGCTTCGACCTGGCGCCCGCCCCGCCGCCCGGGGCCGCCCTCCTCTGGCCGCAGTTCGAGCGCGGGTGCGCAGCGACCCCGGCGGGCGGCTGCTGGCCTCCTACCCGCTGTACGCCAACGGGCTGGGCGCCCACCTGCCCGGGCTGCCCTCCGACTCGTCCGCCTCGTCCTCCTCCTCGTCCAGCTCCTCGTCCAGCTCCTCCTGCTCCTCCTCTGGCGTGCGGCGGAAGGGCAGCCGCGACTGCTCGGTGTGCTTCGAGAGCGAGGTGATCGCGGCGCTGGTGCCCTGCGGCCACAACCTCTTCTGCATGGAGTGCGCCAACCGCATCTGCGAGAAGACGGAGCCGCAGTGCCCCGTGTGCCACAGCGCCGTCACCCAGGCCATCCGCATCTTCTCCTGAGCGCCGCGGGCACGAACCGGGGGGGCCGGCGGGGCCGGGGGCGCCGCCCGCCTGCGGGCTGCGGCCGAGGGAGGGCTGGGGGGTGGTGTGACAGCGGGTGCATGCTATAAATAATAACGGGCGACTCCATTCTAGTGCTAGGCTAGTTTTTACACTGTACTTTAATACGAAGCTTCCAAAACTCCCCTTTTTTTATAAACAAACAAACAAACAGAAAAAAAAAATAGAAAAAAAAATTTGAAAGTAGAAGATGCTTATGATGATGACAATGGTGTGTGGACTGTTAGTAAAACGTGCTGGTAGTTCTAGGATGCTTATTACAAAATAATTAAATCTATGGGTGGATACTTTTCTGAATGTTCATGAAAGGGCAAGAAGTTCCTGTGAAAAACCATGATACTGCAGCTTTATCAGACTTTTAAAAAGAAAAAAGAAAAAAAAAACCAACAAAACTGTAACATATCTCTTATATATATTAAAAACGTTTAAAGGTTTTAAAGATAAATTGCATTAATACAGATTGAAGTATTTTATTCTTTTTTGACTTGAAAAATTATATTTCATATTGCAAAGATGTTTACAAGTATTTTAATTTAAGTTCAGTGAACTTTTTGTAGCTGGGTTAAATCTTTTTTATTTTAGTATGGCCTTATGGCAAAGAACACTGTATTATTTTAATATCACACAATTGTGAACGGAATTACAAACCATAAAATGTGTAATGCTTTGAACAGTATTCTGTTGGGATGGAGATTTTATAGGTTCAGAAAAAAATCTTTTAAATCTGCTTCACCCAGCATATTTTCTATTCAGTGATATAAAGCATATTTTATTCTATATTATTACAAAAATGGAAATGTATAAACATATGTCAAAAGGAACTGTTGAAGCTTTCTAACATTTGTATAAATAGAATTCAGTGGAAATTACAAAAATTCTGTTGCACCACTATAGTTTTAGTATTTCTATTTTAATACATTTGTTTACCACTTGTTTATGTATATGTAGGTGACGTTACTTGAGCTTAAATGTACTTTACTGAGCAAAGTTTAAAAACAAAGTATATTTTATTTTATGATAAAGGGCCTTTAACCTCATGGTCAAATACTAATATTATATTTGCTGAGACAAGATTTGAAATTGTATCAAGAGTTTTATTTTTCTGACATTTAAAGTTCTACATAATAAAAGTAAAACTTAAGTAATGGTGCTACTTCATGTTTTTTTAAGTATTTCTATATAAATAAAATAAAATATTACAGAAAAAAAGGTACTCTCTGTGGTGATTTGATTTCATGTGCTGAGAGTTTTTTCTGGAATTTTTGGTTCCTGCTTGTATCAGTGAAACATGTTGGGAGTTTAAACTGTGTCATGCTAATGTTGCTGGAACTCATGCAGGCTTCCAGAATAATCCTGCCATCCATACCTTATAACATGTTTTTAATGAAAAAAAAATTGAGTTTTTTAAAATATGTATTATATTGCTGGGGTTTTCTACAGGACAAAATGCTATTTTTTAAAATAATCTCTAGTCATGAAAAGTGCTTGGGTTTGTGTGAATTGGCAGGCAGAGCAGAGGCAGTAGGAACCTGGAAAGGAGCTGAAGGAGGGAGCAGGGAGGCTCCTCTGGTGCCCTGTGCTGATGGAGGCTCCGGGTGCCCAGGGGCCTCAGGACCACCCCAAACTTGGCGCTCCTGGAGCAAGGGCTGCACTAGCCCCCCTGAGTCCTTGACAGTGGATTTGGCAGTTGTGGCTGGGGTAACTGGTGCTGACAAGCTTATTGAATCAAACATTCATTGCCCTGTCAGGTTGGTTTGGCGTGGCTGGTGCCTGCAGTGGCGCTGGGGCGAGGGACGCTCGGCCCAGCCCAGGGACACCGCGGGCAGGGACTTGTGCTGCTCCGTGGAGTCCATGGGGATGAAGTGGCTGTTGGCTGATGTGTGTTAGAGCAGATTGCAGAAGGTGCTGCACATCCCTAAATGTTTATCTTAGAGCTTCCATTGCCCTTTCCAGTGGGTGAGTGAAAGCAACAAAGGAAAGGCAGAGTGCGTAGCGGATTTCATATGCTTTACTTTGTGCTTAGCAGTGTATGGGCAGAGCTGCTCTGCTCCGATCTCCTTTATGGACTCCAGAGCTGCTGGTTGGGTGGGAAGGGGGAGGAGGGAGGATGCGGCAGGGGATGATGGGATCTCTTTGTTTGATTTGATTTGATTTTTGCTTCTTTCATTGAACTGTGGTTGTGGTATCATCCGATTTATAGGGCTAGAATCCCTCACTGAGTGTTGCATCTATCTCAGGAATCTTGGAGGTTTGGATGGGGGGCAGATACCCCCCACCCCAAGGCTGTGGAAAAGATTCCAGAGAGTGGCAGAGAAGATGTGTTTAAATACATAAGCAGTACAGACACTGAAAAAACCCTTGGCAAGGTCAGTTACTTTAGAGATCAGGAAGTTTAAGTCCATGTGTATGTTTTCTTGATGATGGGTGTTTAGGAAATGCTCTCAAAGATGCGTCAATCAATTTCTCATGTCTGTGTAAATATCCCTGTGCAGTTTTCAGGGAAAAGTTGTGGAAATGACTATAAATAAAAATTGAATTTGATCACTTTGTTTGGTTTCACAAAATGTGAAAACTAAAGTCTCCTTTTCTTCCCTGTGATGTACAATCCTGCTGTGTCCCCGGTGTTGGCAGTGGTGTTATGGATGGCTGTGAGCAGCCTCTGGAGAACAGCCCCTGGCTCAGGAATGCCCTGGCCTGGGCTGCCCAGCCTGTCAGTAAATCCAACTGGCCTCGTTGTCCATGGTCATCCTGCAGGACTTGCTGTTTCTTTACCAGGCTGTGATGGAAACAAAGCCAATCCCCTCTTGGTCCATGGCTCTGGCTGCCTTTTCAGCCTCTGCACGCTGTTCCAGCCGCTTTACATGCTCCATGTGCCTGTTGTCTTGAGATGGAAAGATGGGCTGTAGTGCCTTAAAAACTGTGTTCACTCCTCTTTGGGAATTATTTTGCCTGCAGAGGGACCAGTCCGGATTATTCTTGCTTTGCCTTTTGCCCAGCCTTCCAAATGTGATGCTGGCAGAGCCAGGGGGCTCAGCAGCATTCACCCACCCGAGGCACCTCCACTGCCTGGACCCTCCACTGCTGGCAGGGCTGCTGCATCCCCTTCTCTCTCTTGGGGAGTATTTCAGGGTGTGCTGGCACATGTGGTGTCCATCCTGCCAGGTCTCATTGCTTGCTGGGTTGCCCTGCTGTGCCCTGAGCCAGATCTGCTGCCAGAGTGGGGTTTAAATCCCCCATCCTCGGCTGGCAGAGACGAGCTCACGGGAGCAGGGCTGGTGTGGGGAGGAACGTGCAGGCTGCCCATGTGCTCTGCCCCGGATTTATGCTGTAGGTCAGTCCCTCAGACTGCAGAGGCCATAAATCAGTGCAGAAATTGTCCCAGGGTCGGGAGCCATATGGTGTGCAGGAGCAGGAGAGGAAGAGGGATGCCCACACCGAAGGAGAATAAAGGCCTGTGTTCGGGGCCAGAATATTTCAAAGCCTGAGAAAGGGGCAAAGTTCAGTTTCTAATTGAGTGCTTTGAAATATATAGATGTATATGGTCAATGTTTGTCTTCCAGAACAAAGCTGGCTCTGTTTGTCCAGAATTTGTGTGTTGGTGCTGGGAGCTGTTCCTGGGGGTGTCCAGCTCAGAGCTGCTCGGTGCTCTGGGGCTGCTGGGGCTGTGGGTGCCCCTGGCACGTGCCAGCAGCCTGGCCCTGCTGGCCCAGCCCCTCTTTGGAGGCACTGGTGAGGACCTGCACGTTTGTGGGAGTTTCCTGGCTTTCCCAACACATTTGTGTGGTTCCCAGTGCATGTACACATCATTATCTCAAACCAGGGTACATTTACATATGTAAGAATTGTTATGGGCAAAGTCCTAAGTTTAATTATTCCTCTGTCCGTATCTTGTACTTCACAGAATTTGCATAACAATCAGACATCAAAGCCAGAACCCTTTACTGGAAGAAAGGTCTTTCTGCTATATTATTTTAATAAAATAAATTATAATGATCAATTAAACCTAAATTTACTCTTCAGATCTTTTTCCTGTGAATCCATTGAAATGAGAGTTAAAAGCAAACTTTAAATTTAGCAATAAGAATCTAACACAGTAAGGTATTTAAATTGCTTTTTGTTTTATATTTCTCACTCCTCTCTGCCAATGCAGTCACCCATCTTTTTTCCTCCATTCTCCTTGTCTTGCCATTTTGGAAGTTAAAATAATGCTTGCTGTCACTGAAGTGAATGTGGATTCTGCTGCTGGAAGAGCACACAGGTGAGTCTTGCTTTTAATTGATCTAGAAATAGCAAAAAGGAATTTTTCACCCTGCCTCTGCTTATTTGTGTTTCCTGTAACTCGACTTGTCTCTTGAGTAGAGCTGATTTAATTAGAGAACAAAGATATTTTAAATCTAAGCTAGGCAAGGGAGGCTTCAGTCTGTACAACCATTTGCATTTCTGGTTTACCTGTTTATGACAGTCTCCCTGGCAAGCGCCGAAGGGCCCGAGTTTGCAGGTGAATATGTGCTCTGCCCAACAGTGAGTGATGTGGGCAGGCACTCCTAACTGCTGTGCTCTCTTGCTTCAAACTCAGGAACCTATAGAGTTATATGTAAATGTAATCATATATCCAGTATGTACTTGTGTACACAACTGACTGCATAGAATCATCCAGAGGAATCATCAATTAGGAAGTCTTTCCCTTTTTAGTGCATTGGTGTTAACAGAAACTTGCTGTAATTACGAAAAAACTCGTATTGCAGTTTTATTACTTAATAGTAAGGTTTTTAATGAAGCTTTCACAGTTGAATATATGAAATAATTGTATCTCATCTAAGTTTTAACTTTGATTAAAAAGCAAAAAGCTTATTTGGTATTAGTGAGAGAAATTCTATCACAATGTGCTTCTCCTGTGATGAAGCTGTATCAAAACTACCCAGGCACTTGGTGTGTGGATTATTCTTTAATGCTATCTGTGCAGATAGAGCACATGCAGCTCTGACTGTGCCCCGGGTATATACATGCATACATGCACAATACTGGGAGCACCACAGAACCCTGATCTTTTAAGGTTTGTGCAGTCTTGGGAAATAGCATCTCTCATGAGAAACTGAATTTGTGTCCTTAAGGAATATCAGGTGGGGATGTGGCTACAGAAGCAGTGAGTATCTGCCCTGGGTTGCATTTTTCTGAGTTTAGGGCTCTGTGAAATAGTAGGATTTAGTTCCCCTCAGAAAGTAAACTGGCAGGTAAGGTTTTTTTGCATATATACACTTATCCAGGGCACACAGGTAGTATTTCTCCCTAATGTGGGTTTCATGGTTCTTTTTGTTAGGGATTTTTTTTTGCCCTGTCTTTTGTAACAACTCTCCACTGTTAAGATTATTATTGTTTAAGAAAATCAGTCAGTTATAAATAAAAGTTAAATACTTTTGTATTAAGTGCATCTTATGCCTTTTCCATGACAAATGTGATTGA